ACACACACACACACACACATACACTTCCCCTTCAATTCCTCACTGTTCTCGGATGCCTCAGTGACTTCTTGTAATACTAAGCATATCTTGTAATGCGTTTTTTAAATACCTTTCAAATTATGGCTGCTCTTTTTTCAACTAATCATTTGGAGTAATGTTTTTCTACACTACACTGTTCTGCTTTTTTTCCCCCTCCAAACATCCTGCCAATGATTTTTTACTAAGTACCTTGTGTGTTTGTCTGTGCGCTTCAGCTGCTGACACACCACCCATACTTCACGCCGCACAAATGCACTGCCACATTACATATTTTAGATCATCTGTAGTTAAGATGGCGCCTGTGGCTGCATATACAGGTATGGTCGAAAGCAGTAACGGTTCCCAGTGCTGACCTTAAATGCCCCGATCCTGTCTCTGCGTTGGGAATCGGCGTCCTACATTCCAAAGACTCCAGGAAGATTACGTGCGTCGCATCACATTTCCAATTGGAGAACGTTTAACTCGGCCGCGAGGAGACGGAGGCTAACCGGTGTTGGACAAATAGCTTTAATTTCCCCATTTCTCCTGTAGCGTCCCCTTCGATTCTGCCTCGTCTTTTGAGTATTTTAGATTACGTGTCACTTTTCTGTAGAAGAAAAACACATTTTCTGACATGATCCGTAGGAGACTTGACTCTGCAGARGCTTCACATCACGTTAAGCAGCTGAAGACGAAGAGTACGATGGGCCTGAATGCTCCCAACGACTGTCTCAGATTCTGTCATTTGGTGCTTTTTTACTGTACAGACAGGTGTGTGTATGTGTGTGTGTGTGTTTGTAAACGCACTAGATAAACCATGGTGCTATGAAAGACCTCGTCAGTCTTGAGTCAGAATCAGGGAACTGTTTTGTCTCTCTCACGATATCAGCTACAGATGTTTGAATCTCCTCTTTTTTAATAGCTTTTAAGTTGCAGAGACATTTCATTTGCTGTGGTCACATTTCAGATTTAACATCACTGGTAATGTTTTGATTAGAGGAATGTGAATAACGTAGACGTCGATTGTTTCAGGTATGATTATTGTGCAGAGCTGGTAATTATATCACAGTGATGAAGGATTTCTTCAGCACTCAGATGAGCTTCAGGAAGCTGGTGCCAGTTTGCGGCTTCTCATTTGTTGTTTATTCAGGCTTTAAGAAAAGCTTGATTATCTTCACTTGTTCATTGAGTCGAGGTTCTCTCAACTTAAACAGTGAGCTTCAGTGACACAGGATGCACATTAGCTGGGACGCTAATGGCACAAAGATAGCCTCTTCAGGAAGAAAACAAACAAACTGTACTCCAAAACAAAGTATTCATGTACAACGTGAGGTGTTCTTTTTTTGTTTGTTTTTGTTTAGGGATGGGCCGGTATGAGATTTTAACAGCTCGATAACCTTTAGGAATAATACCACCGTTTAATGATATCACCGTATCAAAACAAAACAAAACAAAAAGTAAATCTGTATCACAGGAACCATTAGCAACACAATATCAAAAACACAGTTACCATTACTTCTGCTTAAATAATAGCACATATTGACTACCTTTTAGCCATAATAATATAAATAATATTTATTTATAGTTTTTTTCAATGCATAGATACACATAAGGCAAGTGAGAACACAAATGTGTTGTCACTTTGTTAGAAATTAGCATTGGATATTTCATGCATCATGATAGATTTTTTTAAAATATAACTGTTGATCATTTTGGAAATCTAGTTTGAAATCTTGATTTAATCCCAATAATGAGGTTACATTTGAAATCAGTGTTAGACAAAATGCCCGACACTCAGCAAGTTTTATGATACGTTTTAGTTCTAAAGCAAATGTGTTTACTGTGCTTAATGTTAATTCTGCTTTTTGTAGCATATGTTAGCTAGTTAGTTAATTAGCCTGTAGCAAGCTGTTTATTTACCAAAAGTCTTGTAGCTTCTTGTAAACGTTTGTTTCAAAACAGTGTAGCTTTAAAAAGAGTGACACGCGTCCCTGTCTGAGAATGGGGTCTCTGCAGTCACTAAGTGGGAGTTTGTAGCGGTGCGCGACTGCTCTTCTGAATAAATGAAAACTATGTTACGCAGTTGTTTACACTTAAATTAATAATATTTGACCAAAGGAAAACTGGAGCAGGACTAGAGAGAGATGAATATGATTTAGATTTTTTTTCTGTGACTGTATACGACCCACAGAAGACAGTCATCATTTCATTCCTCGGCTTTATCAGCTCCTTTAATTCCACAGCTGACACTGCTAAAAATGGCAGATTTMATTTTTTCTGGATCTCTGAGAGCAGCACTTCAATCTCCAAACTTGTGAAGTTCTTCGTTTTACTTTGCGATGTCATTTATGAATGGACACTTCCTGGTATGTGGGGCAGGAAGTGTAGCCTTATATGGTGTTTTTAGGGAGGTATAATTATGCTAATCTCCTCTCCTCGTGCACGAGCACCTGCATACGCATTCATCAGTTTACACAGTTCATTTACACACTTTTCCTGAAGATAGAAGAGTTTGTTGAATCTGACGTGACATGTTCGTACGAACAAATGTAAGAGAAATTTAGGATAAGAACATGTTCTTGCATGAGGCCCATTGTTCTGTTTTAAACCATCAATAGACAGTCAATAAATTAACATGTTCACAATAACTTCTAACCCCTCAATCCGACCAGTAATTGGTTTTTCCAAACTCCGCCCACGCAGCTAGGAACCTCCCCCTATGTGCTGCAGAGACCCCTACTTGCCCTGCCCTGGTTGTGAAGTCGTGACCATGTTCTTTCTTCACTACCAGATTTCCAATTGATTCACTTTATCTTATTTTTTTTAACTAACTGGCAAACTTTTGGTGTTTTCCCCTTTTATTCCATCGAACACAGCTGACGGACAGTTCATGGTAACAGGTGGAGGGAGGTGGGGGAAACGATACACAACCACAGAAAGCCCCTCGTTGTTTCCTGTTACACCACAGGAATGCTATGACAGACAAATTATTTATAAATGATGACTTTTAAACATTGTGGTATATAATGAAGCCGGCCCATACCTATTGTCTTATGATGTTAGTCATACAGTTAGTCACCTGATCTGCCTTTCTGGTTTGTTCCGTTGAACATTTACCAGGAGATCTCTTGGGAATAATCATTTCCTCTGATCACATCTCTCTTGTTTTTCTCCTGTTTTTCTACCAAGTCTCAACAAACAGGCATCTTTTTGGAGAAGWTACTATCAACCAGACAGGTTTAAGGACGTTTTGACAGGATGCACTTATTTGTTGTTTGGGGTGAAGGAGATGTAGAATATCTAAACCATCATCAGTCTTTTGATGATGCCCAGATTATCTGGATATTCACCGGCTACTTTAAAACCCCAGATACTGTATGTTAATCTGGAGAGGAGTGGAGGTTGATTTCCCAAAGAGGCACTTTTTAAAGTAAAAGTTGACCCTTAACACCTGTCTTGAGTTCAGGAAATCAGTCTGCTACAAACTGAGGTGAAATCAGCTGGTTCAAGTACAGATCAAAGTTAAAAGTAGCTCTTTAATAACGTTACAACACTAGCGTGATAGTTAATCTATATTTTTTTGTCCAAACAGGGTGTTGTATGAATGTGTGAGAGTAGAGAACATGTCACTCTGCTGTTGCTTTGACATAAAACTTAAAAAGAAGAAAAAAAAGGTCACTACATTATTGTACAGCAGCAGGATCCTGCAGTCCTGCTGGCCTATTTAACTACTATTTGGCTCCATTTTGCACTACATCTAGATTAGGAATAAATAGACAGGGTGCTGGAAAAAAAAAGAATGTTTTGCAAATGTTTCCTTTATCTGAAGTTAATACCACAATGGTGGAACCTGCTGTGGCTCATGCATTTAGTGGCAGTAAGAGGTTTTTTTTAAATGAGCTGATGCTTTCTTTTCATTGTGGCAGAAAAATAAAGACAAATCAGTACGACACTTCAAGAAAAATATATCGAAACAGGCTGTAAATGATGAGTAGATTTGCCATCATGTGCTGTAAATGTCCATCATTTTCTTTGTTTTCTTTATTGCATAGCATTTCTTTAATTACCAATATGATCATTAAGATTTAAGACTCTTGTAGTTTCATAAGTGAATCATTCCTCCTTCCTAGGCATAGAACAAACTTGTGAATGATGATGACGATGTAAAACTTGTAAAAATGGTTAAAAAATGAATAAAAAACAGAAAATTGAGGAGTACAAAAGGGGGAAGAAAAAAAATCTGTTGCCAGTCAGAGGCCAAGGTAAAGGACTTTCTTTTCTTTGTTTTTATTTTTTATTAGCAATTTATCACTGTGTGATATTTTGTACATCATATAAAGCTGTATTCAAACAATTTCCTCTAACTACAAGGGATAAGAGACCTGCTTTTTATTAATTTTGTCTTATATATTTTTGAACTGCATTCTGGCTTGTATCAAAAAACCTTTTGTTTGTTTACGGGTCCCCTYTTGTATGTCAATAAGAAAGAAGAGATCAAAAAATAAAAATTTTGTACAGTGACGTAAAGCGCAGTATCTTTRTTGATGTGTTACACAACAATGTTCTATAAGTATTTCCATCATATTAGAAACAAATAAAAAACAGTGATGCTTTAGGATAAACTTTCCAGCACTGATGGGTTTTAAATTATTTTTAAATTTTTTGTTGTACGGCTAAATATAGTTCCTAAAGTAGACCTTCATTTATTTGGTTAGAGTACCTGATGAAAATGGTCATATTTCAACGTTATATAAACAGCAATCATGGAGTAATCATGACTTATGAAATCAGAATTTAGGAAAACAGAACATTTTGAATCAAAACCAAAAAAAGTTAAAAGTCAATTTTTTTATACATCATAAATCATTGAAAAATATTATTTTGATGGGTTAAATTACCACCAACTGCTAAACTGTTTTTTAATTGAATCWTCAGGTCTAATGGAAGTCTTTGAAAGTACTTAAAAATTATAGGCTATATTAGCTTTTTCTCTCATTTTCTGTCCAATCCCTGACAACATTTTGGGGAATATGGGCTTAAAGTTGGTACGTGAAGAATAAAAAAAGTAGGGTCAGCACTAAAAAATCTGTAGCAAATGAATAATATTCATAAGTCACGTATTTCACAAATTTAAAAATAAAAACCCGGGTAAAGCCCAACAGGACCTGAAAGCTGCATCATCCTTCATTTAATCATTTGTATAATTTTAATGACTCTTTGGAAATCCCCTTATTAGAGCTGTAACACTGTTTCATATCTGTCAAAATGTTTTCTATTTGTTGCTTTTTGTGTCAAATTATACAATCAGTGGTATTTTTCATCCAAATGGAGAATTACTATAAAAAATGGGGAAAAACTTATCTGAATATGCGTTCAGCTTGTTGCAAGAAAAGCACACGCAAAAAAAGTTATTTTTGCACAAGACACTAATGATGGTAAGCTACACTGTAGCCACAGCTGCCCTGGGGCAGACTGAAAGAGGTGGGGCTGCCATGAACTGCTTTTATTATTAGGCTCATTTTATTCTGCTACCAGACCAAAAATACCAGGAAAATGACAAAAACAAGCGCGTGTTGTGATYATTTAATCTGCTGTTAATAAACAGCTCCCTCAGGTGGTGAACAGGGGAACAACAGTGAGCAATCCTTGCAGCTGCTTGAGGTCTGTTGTCACATGATCATATTTACAGTTTTCTGTGGTTTTTATGCTTTGATAAAATGGAAACTGATAGATGATCTCAAAGGGATAACACTGACACTAGATAGAAGAGAAGCCTMGGATAAAAAAACAAAACAAAAACAAATGTGGAATTTTAGCATCTGCATTTGTTATATAACATAAATTAGAAAACCCTTTTGTCAATATGCTTCATGTATGTGACCAATATATTTATAACTGTTGTCACCAAGTATATATATTTTTTAGCTTGCGGTATATTATCCCACTTCTTTTGTTTTCTCAACTTATTAAAGTTTACTGAAAACTATCAAMTTTGTATTTAAACAGCTCTGCAAAAGGTGTGGTTTGGTTTAGGGGTCAATGATAATAAATGTGCACAAGTAAATGAAAAAAGGGACCAGCAATGTGCCTCTATGGAGGGACACAAATGGCAAGTAGATTGAGGGAGGATAAGGAAGTGATGGGAGGGTTTTGGAGTGAGGAGCTGCCCACCCCTCAGGCAGTGTAAGAGGATCCACGCTGACCTCTGAGGGAGGGAGCAAACAAGTCAAACAACCCTTAAAAACAAGGAAAAGGGGGGAGTGAGAGTGGTAAGGAAGGAGGGGGATAAATGTAGGAGTGGGGAGTAAAAAAAAAGGGCGGAACTTGCTGAGCGTCTATTGGCTTCAGAATGTGTCAGTTATTTCACTTCCTCCTTGGTTGTGGTGAGATGACAGATGAGAGGGCAGGAGGGAGGGTAAAAGGGAGGTACCTACCCTTCAGATCAGACAGCTCTGTCTCTGCTTTTTTCACAAAAAAAGAGGCTCTTCTGGGGTTGAAACTGAAACAGGGCAAGACTTGTAAAAGGAGTGCAGTAACTTGGTCTCACTCATTTTCAGGGTTTCCTGTTTAAGGAGGCCATTTTGTTACACAGCTCTGGAGCAGATCATAACAAAGTTTGGCATTGTTGTTTTTTCTCTCTCGTTCTCGCTTCCCTCCTCTCACCCACGGCTGAGAGTTTCACAACCAAGTTTGGACTTTCTACTCTGCAGATCAACATCTTTGGCTGAAGGAGGGGAAGAAGGTGGAGGTGGAACAGCAGCAGGAGGGTGACTCCCTCTGCCCCTCGGTGTGTCTTTTCTTTTTTTTTCTGAGGGATCACTTGCTTCATGCCTGTCATGCCTGGACAACAACGCGTCAGGCGGCGTGAAAGAGGTGCCTGAGAGGAGGTAAAGCACTACTTCCTGGACAAGGATTTCTTCCCTAATCCACTGAAAGGAGGCCGATCGAAGAGTCAGAGGKAAACYAGTCGTCTTGCTCTGAGTCTGAGTGCTGATTTTTCTCCCAGTTTGAATAAATGTGGCTTCTCTGAGAACTGTACACTGCACCTGGGTGAGTGTGTGTTTGTCAGTGCTGACAAGCTTCAGGCAGCCAGCAGCCCTGTGGACTCCCTCTGAATGGCTAATGCTAGCCCCTGTGTGACCTCAGGGCCAATGTCCCCGGCCTTCTTTCACCCCGTGGACCCCTCAGCACCTGGATCAACAGGGATGCACCAGGAAACCCCCATACACAGGCCCTCAATGCCTGCTCAGACTGGCGATCCGGTGATGGACATGCAGTGTCCTGGAGGGGCCGGGGTCCCCGCATTGCTTCCCACTCCAACAGGAGTGTCCTTCATCATCCAGATTGGTCTGACCCGAGAATCCGTCCTGATGCCCCAGTCTGCTGATCTGGCCTATGTGAAGCAAATCGCCTGCTCCATTGTTGACACCAAGGTAAGAAATGMGCAGACTGAAGGAAGTGGCATGTCAGGTGAAAATAATATTTTTTCCTCTCCCCCCTCCTAATAAAACTGTACAGATGAGGAAGTGCTCAATGGTACATTTAAACAGAAGTTAATTGTTTAGTGTTTTCAGTGGCAAATTTGTGAAGCTTACTTGTTTTTGTACCATACATATGTTTATTATTCACATACATTACAATCTACTAGATTGTGAACCCCCCCCCCCATTAAATACATGATATAATGCAGATCAGTTATCATTCCTATCTGTGCCACAACGTAATAAAAGTTCACTATAAATACAATTCCAAACTTACAGCTACTCATATTGTTTTTGTCTAAATTAGTCTTTAAAACTAAGCAAAATTTTAAGAACAATATTCCTTTGAAACAGACTTGCCCAAAGTGGGGCCRGTGGGCTAAAATCTGGCCACCAAGCCTTTTGAATTGGCCCACTAATAGTTGCTCTGATTACAATTGTAATCTCCTGTCATTATATTTCAGCACACATGTAGACCACAAATACTCAGATTTGATAAATTTTGAAATGCCCAAGCAAATTATTGGCCTGCAGCCCTTGGATAGGTTTTCACTTTGGCCTACTCTGGGAAAAAGTTTGGGCACCCCTGCTTTAAAAGTTAGCTCCAAATTTTGGTCAACTTTCTTTGGCCTTTATGGGTGTGGTATTTAAAAAAGAACCCCTGCGGTCAGAACCCTGGAACTTCTGTTTGGCTTCTATAGATGTCGAGTGTAAAAACACCTGTTAACTAGATGCGTCTGCCTTTTAATGTACTTAATGAGCTCAGATGTGGACAGTGCAGATTTGTTCAAAAAGGGCCAAATTAATSTAATTATTTGGCTGACAAATCAGTGGATCAACAGTGCCTCTGTTAAAAAGTGGCCGACTTCTTTTTGTTTTCCTGTTTCAAACAAGAAAACAAAAAGAAGTTGTCCAAACAAGTTGTTTGCACATTTTTATTTACTGCGACAAATGAAAAGATTTGAACACAACTGTGAAAGACCCTGCAGAAACACACAGAAGTCCAACTAGCATTTTTCTCTCGACGCTGAAATGTTTTCATTTTTTAGGTTTGTTCTGTCATGTTTTACACAGCAGACTTACAAAGTGGATTTTTTTTTATCAGTTTACTTTTTAAGATAAGGACAAAAAAAGTTAGTTACTGTTTCATCCAGATGTTCACCCCTGGGTCTGCACATGTGTTGTACAGGAAATGCCACAGCAACACATTTACTTTGAGTTTTGATAAAAAAAAAAGTGTTTTGGCAAATACTGTTATACAGCTGCACATATTCATTTTTTTTCTTAGCCAACAGACAAGGATTTGTTTTCTTAATATTAGAGTAGATTAGTGGGATTTTATTATAGTTGTAATACTGAGTGAGGTACTTCAGATCCTTATTTCATGAAAGTAGAAAGTCCCGTTTTCATTTCTCCTCTGTAGCCCATCATTGTTTTGCATTTTTACAAACATGAACAAATAAGGACATCTTTAGTCCACTTGTTTAATTTCCTCTTCTTTCACCAGTCAGATATGAACTTGAGCTGTTATTCAGCTTTATTGCCTGTCGGTTGTGTGTGTTTGCATGTGTTTATTTGCTGAAAGAGTTAGCAAAATATCTCACGAACCACAGGACAGCTTTTGTTGAAACTCTCAGAAAGTAGTCCCTTGATGTACGTCTATAACTGGTCACCTTTTGGGATTCATCTCTATTCAAGATGGCCGCCGCAGCTAACAGACGTAACTCAGTCAGCTTAACTGATGGAGCCAATTTTGGTCACAAATAATGTTCTTTATGACCAAAATGGCCGTTCCTCCATCTGTTCTCTGCAAAAGATGATCTTCGTTTAAATCTTTGGCGTTAAAGGGAGCAATCATTTTTAGAAATCCTAACACAAGATTATGTTCTCAGTATTTATTTGGCAAATTATTCCTTAAATTCTTTGATTTTATTTATTTGATTTTTTTATTTAACAGGAAAAGATTATTAAAAATCAAGCCTGACTCAGCAGAATTGCTGTTTTACAGCAGGTTCCTGTTCTGCAGCACATAAAACACTCAGAAATACAGCATCACAATCACATCATTAAACACCATAGACACAAAGACAAACAAGCATACCAAATTTCAGGAAGGCAGCATTTGCAAAATAAGACGTCTAAATATGAGCACAACAAAAAGTGTCCAGCAGATGGCAGACAAGATTCTWCTTAAAGGGCTGTAGTTTTGAAATGGACTTTATGTTATGAGGAATGTCATTCCATGCTTTAGTATAAACATAGAAGAAAGGCCTCTGGCCGTAACAGTTTTTAAAAGTTGGTAATATCAGTTGTCCTTTTGTAACAAACTTTGCTGACTCTGTGTGTACTGCCCCTCCTCCCTGTATGCCTGTTTTACTCCAACAGTATTTAACAGGTTTATTGCCTGAAAAAGAAAACTTCATAGTACACCACACCATACAGAGACAAGTGTTAGCTCAGGAGAAGTATAGAAACATCTCTTCAACAGGAAGCGACAAGCGTTATGGGAAATTAGTTTTTCTTTTGGAGAACTTACGGCTTGTGGTAGAAAACAAGCAGTAGGTGAAATGGACATTTTAAAGTGGGAGCTGGTTTGACCAAATTCATATGTAGTTTAAATGCTGACAGATGATAATCAGCTGATTTCCAGCCTGCTCAGGGCCTCTTAGTGAAAGTCCAAAGCAAACTTTTCCAGGAAGATGTAGCTGCTCTCTCCACTCAGCATTTGGAGTTTGCCGATCATTTAATTTTCAATTTTCTCCTCTTACTGGAGTCTTCCTACGTCATGCGCTTGCTGTAGTGTCTTCAGCTAGATCTGCACTTTTTGAGTCACTGAAGCACCAGGAAGCACTGCTGCAACATTTCAGTTGTTGTTTACATCAGTGGTTCCCAACCCTGGTCCTCAAGGACCCCTATCCAGCATGTTTTACTTGTTTCCCTGCTATTCAGCAGGTCTTCAGAAGATTGTTAATCACTCAGTCATTCAAACCAGGTGTGTCAAAGCAGGCAAACATCTAAAAATCACTGCTTTAKATGTTGACCAACACCTCAAGAGCTTCTCTGAGCTTGATGAGACATTTTCATAATATAATGTTGACTCAGTTTTATGTTTTTTAGTATTGCCTCTGGAAGCCGTTGATTCTTTGCCATTTATTTGTAAATAATAAATCTGATAACATGTATTAAAGCAGTGATTCTCAACTCTGGTCCTCAAGTACTCCTTTTCTGCATGTTTAGATGTTTTCCTGATTTGACACACCTGGTTTGAATGAATGAGTGATTAACAATCTTCTGAAGACCTGCTGAATAGCAGGGAAACAAGTAAAACACGCTGCATAGGGGTCCTTGAGGACCAGGGTGGGAACCACTGCTTTACATGATATGATATGACACGAACATGACTGAAATTTCTTCCTTTTTTTCTTTTCAGAAATAATAAACAACTGTATGTCAACAGCTGTTTGGTTCATTTCATTTTCATTCTTCCTCTTTTTTGTGCTTTTCCAGTAAAACAAGAACCGTTTCTTGTATACCTATTCAGCTTTCCCCCCGTCTATTTGCCAATAGGTCTTTATCTCTTTCTGCACTGTTTGCTGTCCAAACTCACTTCTGTACTCTGTTTTTTTTAAMTTACAAACTACATGACATGTCTGCTTTAATTAAAATTGAATATTTATATTCTTAGATACTATTTGTGGATTTTCTCCATGTATGCAGGGGCAGAGCCAGGGAGTGGCCATYYCCACCATAGAAAAATCTTTGGCCACCCCAACTGCTGCTTTGCCAGCAATATTTTGGCAAAGGCATCAATCAACCAACCAATCAAACAAATTTATTTCGAACATGATGACCATACAATACAAAGATGGTGGATTAATTATCTTGTGAACACGATGTTTGCTTGCTCAAAGTAAATAAAGTACCGCCACTTTCTTTATTTCATCCACCATTAAACAGAGACCGGTGTTAGGTCGAGCCACGTTCCCCCATCAGACGGTTCCCTCAGCGTCTCAAACAACAGAGGAGCTTCCCGACACACGTCTGACCTAAAGAGCACAAGCAGCCAACAAGTGTTGGACGTGTTCTGGATGTTCAAAACGTAGCTTAAATACCTTTTATTTATTTTTAACTGCATCCTCTTTTGTTTATTTGATTTAAACTTATTTGCCTTCCATGGACCTCCATCACACATTTTTCTAGTGGGGAAATGACATCAATAGAAACATGTGGAGCTGGATATTAATTTGTGCAATAAGACAAAACAGTCTTGTTGTTTTCAACAGTTTTCACCTTAAAGAAATAAGTTACACAACTGATGTTACAATACAAAGAGTTGGATGTTGTCTTGATATTTGTTAAATTTTATATATTGAGAAATATGTTAAATAAAAATAATAAATAAATGTTTATTATAGTTTTTCAAGGTGACTTGAATTTTGCATGATTTAGTTCATTTGTTAGATTGTTAACATCTTGCACTATATTTCTTTTAGTTGAATTTTATATGCTTTAGTTGAGATTTTACGTTGATGTTAAATCTTTTAAGTTTTTTTTTTTGTTGAATTGACTCTAGAGTGCATATTTTGTGTCCATGAAAAAACTATTACAGAAAATATTATAATATTAAAGAACTGTTCTTGTTAATTTGATGAAAACATTTTAAATATCCAGTGCACTCACATCAGAATAACTTTTAGATTTGTTGTTAGAATGATCGATTAATCGAAAAACTAATCGTTAGATTAATCGATTAGCAAATAATCGTTTGGTACAGCACTACATATTACACATATTAAATACAAAATACACATATTTTATGGCAATAATAATCTTAACATGTTCGAAATGGAGTAGGAAGKAGTAAAAAATCATAAACTCCTACACCGTACTATTTTCAAATTATATATAATAATAAACCTAAGGCTGATTTAGTAAATCATTAAATTACAATG